TTATACACTCATCTTTTTTTTTAGATATTTAATTATTATTATTATTTTTTCAAAATAAATTAATACTAATCATTTTTAATTAATAATTTTATAATTATAGTAGTATAGCATTAACTGTCAAAATAATAAAAAACAACCACAACACAACAAAACTTAATTAATACAAGCTCAACAAAACAATTTAATTTTATTAATTTTATATCAAAACAAATACACACACATATATAAAGCTATTATTTTAATTTAGTTTTATTTATTTATTTATCATTACAACTTTTATACATATATATTTTAAATTTGTACAATATTATCAAAAAAAAACAAACAAAAAAAAAAAAACAATTAAAAGTAATAATTATTTATAAAATAATTTTATAAACATTAACATATCACTAATTATTTTTTATAACTTTATTTTTTTTATTTTTTTGATATATAATTAACTATCTTATTTTTGTATATATAAAATCATTTATTTGTTTTTTTTTTCAATATTTTCTTTTTTTTCTCATAATAATTTAAAACACACCATATAATAACTATACACAATAATCAATTTTTTATTTTTTATTTTTTTTAAAATTTTAAAAACAATCACTCTCGCACATAATAATTATTAATCACTATTTATTATAACAATAATAATATTATATAGAAAGAATCCAAACCAATTAATCACTACTAATTTTAATTAATAGTATTAATTAACAAACAAATAAACAAGTAATAGTTTAATTATTAATATCAAATCTTTCTTAAAGTAATATATAAATATATAAAAAGATGAATCATCAATTTATGCAATCACCACTTTATCTTGAACCAAATACAAATGGTCCACATATAAATAATGTAAATAATAGTCTCCACAATCTAAATTTAAACCATCCTTTAAACAATAGCAGCAACTCAAACTACAGCTATAACAGTAATAATTATAACAGTAGTAATAATAACTATAATAACAATAATAATAACAATAACAACAATAGTCATCAAATCCATAATAGCTATCAAAATTATGAATCATATAACGAAAACTGTAACAATAGTAATAATAACAATTTAAATAATATAAACAATAATAGTAATATAAATAACAATAACTATAGTCATAATAATATAAACAACAACTATAACAATAGTAATAATACATTAAAAATTCCACCATTACCAATAATAGGACAACCAAGTTCAACATCACCAAATGGAATTGGAAACTCTGGTTTAGGTTTAAATAATACAAATAAATTGTTTTCAAAATTAGATTTATCTAAAGTACCAAATTCATACCAACTTACACATAACAGCTCAATGCCAAACTCACCAACCTCATCAAATATTTCACCATCAACACCAACATCGATGGCTTTAAATTTAAATTCATTAAAATCAATTTTAGATTCTCCTCCAGCTGCACCAGCAACATCTGCATCATCCTCATCAAATGATCACAGCAATGGTATTGTTCATCATATAAATCTTCATAGTGGAGGTGTTAATCATAATGGTGTTGTTATGAATAGTTTAAATTTAAATAATATAGGTCAAAATGCAAACAACAATAGCAACAATAGTAGCGGAAACCAACCACCAACACCATCCTCATCCTCATTCAATATACCTCTATTACAACTTAAACAATTGCAAGGCCAATCACCACCAAACAATACAACCACTACAACCACAACAAACCATCAAATACCAATTATCAATACTCCTGAAATTCATCACCAACGTTCAAATCCACCAAGCGCAACAAACTCACCACGTTATTATATCCCATCACAACAACAAGAATCATCTGTAGAAAACTCACCCTTTACCACACCATTATCTTCTCCACGTGGTCCAATTTCACCAAGAGCTGCCTCAAACTCCTCTTTATTAAACAATCAATCAAATATTAGAGTAGAGGAACAATGGAAAAAGATTGAATACTATGTAAATGATCTTAGTCATTTCATTTATGATTGTATTCGTAGTAAAGATTTTTCAAATTTATCAGAACTAAAAGATAAAATTGAAGAAGTTGTAAATACATCAAAAGAAATTGAAATTATCCATAGCATTGCTAAATCGTATGTTATAAATTGCTTTTTTTTATTTTTTTTTTATTTTTATTATTTTTTTATTATTTTTTTTACTTACATTTATTACTGTTATTTTATTAATTATTTAGACTTCCACCCCAAACTAGAGCAAGAAAGAAAAGATCAACCAAAGCTGAAAAACTTCAAAAAGATTTGATTGGTATTAAAAGAACCTATGTAACAACACCAAAAAGTAAAGGAACCTATTGTATATTTTGTGGTACAATGGAAACTCCAGAATGGAGAAAAGGTCCTGGTGGTCATAAAACGTTAGTATCAAAATTATTATAATTATTTACATGTTCTTTTTTATTGCACAAATAATTTAAAAAAAAAAATAGCTCCATAGTTTTTTTTACAATAACTATTGGGTTCTATTTTTTTTTCATTTATTTTTTTTTATTTTTTTTTTGCAAAAAATACCTTAAAACTTTTATAATAATTAAAAAATCTTTTTCCTTTTTTTTTTTTTTTTTTTTTTTTTTTTTTTTTATATACCCTCTATTTTATTAATAACCCAAAACTATCGATCTTAAAATCAATTTCAATATTCCACAATAACCTATTGCCTAAATTCACACGAAATTTTAAAAAAAAAAAAACCTATTTTCAAAAAATTATTTTTTTTATTTTTTTATTTCGCCAAATTATATGTTGATAATGCGATCAAAATGATTTTTTTCAAAACAACGATAAACTCTGTTATTATAAAATTGTATTATATATTTGTGTATTTACGTGGTGCTAATGTGTTGATTTGTATTTATCCAACCAACAATCGCGTATTATAATATGTGGTTTTTTTTTTTTTTTTTTTAAAAATTATGTTGTCGTTATAAATCATTTTTTGGATAAATAATATTTTTATCAATACAGACTTTGCAATGCATGTGGGTTGCACTATGCTAAAAATATTAAAAAAGAAAATCAAAATAATAATAACTCGCCAAACCCCCAATCATCACCAAACTCAAACATTGGCAATAATAACAATAATAGTAATAGTAATAATGAAAGTGCAATGAGTGTATCAAAACTCATAAGTGATAACTAATAATTTTTTGTTTTATATAAATAATATAATATAAATAAATAATCAAAGAATTTTATAAATTATTCATTATTACATTTATATTTATGTGTAAATTAAATCAAACCAAACAAAAATAAATAAAATAAAATAAAATTATTTCAAATTACATTTTTTTTCCTTTTGATATATTTGATTTTTGTTGATGTGTTAAATTTGATTTTTTTAAAAAAAAAAAAAAAAAATCTATGTGCCCCAAAATCTGCCACAAAAAATAAAAAAAAAAAAAAAAAGCGTGTGTTGATTTTAATAAAATTTTGTTAAGTGTGATTCAATTTTTTTTGAATTCATCCTCGTTCAGTCTCATTTTTCATTTGAAAAGTATTTTTTTTCAAGAAAAAATCGTA